ACAATTCAGACTAAGTAAGAAAGAACATAATGCTGTGTATCATTATGCAGCTGAAAGAGGGGGAAAAAAAGTCACAGCAAGTTTTACACAGCATCAATGAGATTTCATTAAGTTATTTCTTTTTATGGTTTTGTTTTTGTCACCCTGACTATGATGCTTGGTCACTATTCTTTGTAGACTTTTAAACGTGCTCTCTTGCCCCAGAAATAAACACAATCTGTCAGAAAGCTGGCCTATCTTCTCTAGCATGATTTCTTTTTTCCTTGTCTCTATAGATGAAAACATTACCCGCCTTTGTACTGTAGCTTGTGTTATGTTTGCTGGCGTCTGCTGCATGCAGGTTAAAGAACACTTGTCTGCTGGCTGGAATGGTTTATTGTAAACCTTTTGGTTTAAGCCCTAAAAGTCAAATCCTTCCTACTCAAACTGACTTAGGACCATTGGAATGATGATTAATTTTGCAGACAAAATACAGTGAAGTTTTGTCGTATGTTATTGCACTCTGACATTTAAAAAAAAATCACGAAGAACTACTATTAAATACTTTGAATGATCTACTGGGTTCCTCACTGAGAGACCAGCAAAATGGTTAGCTTCTGTCAACGCCTGTTTCATGGCAAAATTCTGAATTTTCATAAGCATTTTTGGCACTCTCCTAATTGTTTCTGTGCCTGGCATTTTGTTTAAATCTTGTCATCTTCTTTCTAGTTATGCCACAACTTTTTCTGATCTGTCTTTACATTTTTAAGTTTTTCTTAAGCCAAAAGCTGTTGTTTTTACCATATAGTCAAAACTGATCCTGCGTGCATGAGCACCATTTTGTCAAGACAGAAAATTGCTCCATAAAATATAAACTGTGGGTTTGTGTCTAGAGTTGAACGATATCAAAGGAAAGATACAGGATTAAGTTTTTCTGTAAGTACGGAAATTTATTATGGAGAAGATAGGCTGTACTTTCTTGAAACCAATGCATATGTTTCCAAATACGAATCTAGTCCACAGCATACAATATACAACTTCTTTTGCTATTCAGAATTATCTCAAAAGAATTCTAAATAAGTGGAGTGCCCTGAAATTATCTTAAAAATAAAAACAATTCATACTGGATAAACAAAAATGAAGGTGAAAATGGCTTTTGTGGCTTTAAGTCAGTTATTGAAAGTTACTTGTCACTTCACCTTAAATCCTTTCCATTATTAGGAAAGTGAAGCAAAGCCAGTGTTTTCTGTCTTAATCCTCCTTCTCAGATGCTCTGCACAGTGGTGTTTTTTTTTTTTTAAATCAAGCTGCTAGGTAAACCATTTTCTGAGCACAAGTTGGAGTTCACTTCATAAACCAGGCACTCTTCAAAGTTGTCATAAGCATATTATAGAAATACACACTACTAGACTGGGGTGGTGTACCTTATTAATATTTCATTTTGGTACAATATACTTGCATTAAGTCTCTTAACACAGGTATCATATTGTTTCAAGTCACAGAACCTAAAACATCATAACAAAGATCAGACTAAGAGCAAAGCCTTGAAAACTACAGCCATTAGTCCTGTCATCCCCTATAAAGTTAATGGGTTGGAAAAACGGTCAGTCTTTGGACTAAAAGTTGATATTTAATTGAAAGAAAATGTTTTTTAATTGTAATGGGGATTTTGCATTAGTGTGAACATGAAAAGGTACTAAAGAATCTAATGCAAGGTTATGTATTGATTTCCAACTTAACAGTACAGTAAAATGAAGGAATATTTCTATTTCAAAAAAAACGTTACGTATTCAATACCATGACTTCTTATTTGTTTTAAGGGCATAGAAGACAGATTCGAATGCAAAGAAGAAATAATAAAATATTCTTGGACACTTTTTGCTGGTTTGTAGGACAAAAGCCATGACACTGCTGTAAACCCTGATTGACTCTACCAGAATTACCAAGATGTTGTATGTTGCTTTCACATTTTCTAGGGTTATTTGGTTCAGGAAGGCAAAAGCATCTGTAAACCTAGCACTACACCGCCTTAATCAAAACGGTTTTAGTGATCACGGATTATAACAAGAGACCTGACATAATGGATGTGCAAAGTCTGCCCACAGAATTAGCATCACTATAGCCTAGATGGATGGACGTATTTAGAAAACGTAGTTTTTCTTGAAATGGAGAATGCTTAAGTTAAATGAATTTCAATTCTTAGTCTTAATAATACTTAGAACACTATGTTGAATTTGGGAGATTCCATTTTCCTTTCAATACAAACTTATGTAAATCAGGTTCTTTTAAATCCCATACAGTTTTATCCAATAATAAGCCGTTAATTTGACTTTCCTCTTAATGCACTTATAAACAAAAATTTATCAGGAGTGATACCTACCTAAGATTTGCAAGTCAGGATACGTTACTTCATTTAAAACTGAAAGACAGCATGAAAGATGGAGAAAGCATTGCAAATACTTTATGAAAGTATTGCTATAATTCTATTATAAAAGTTAGTGCAATACCAGGTACTTATGGTCTGCTGCTAAGGTGCTTCTGCTATATACTCTGTAGTCTACCATTTGTAAACACATCTTTTTGATGTTTCTGCCAACATCCTGGCAACAAAGCAGTGCAATTTCAAATGAGCTAATTAACTTAATTGTTGATGAAGCATGAAACAGTTCATTCACCCTGTTAGCTGCACCATGACAACATAAGAGTCTCAGCCCCTGAAGTTACTCATCTATATAAGCCTATCTGTAGCTTTCCATTAAGATCTATTTCATGCCAAAATGAGTACCTTTGCTCTTCTGACAAAGACCAGTCCATAATGTACATAGGTAGAAAATCAGTGCCGCTGTTGAAAACTCAAATGAACATAGAAATATAGTAGCTACTTTAAAAAAAAAAAGGAATAAAATGCAGAAACCCATCATGATTTGAAGCTGCAGGTGAAAAGCAAAAGCTGTGTCATTTATTTTCTAAATGCTCTCATTTACACAAAACCTGGCAAAACCAAATGCTGCAAGTAAAAAGTTTTGACATCAGTCCTGAAAGGTGCAAACCCACCTGTTCACAGCGGGTTTTTTTCTGTGTATCTTGTGCACATACAAGAGTAAAAGCAAAAATAAATTAGCGAGTGAGAGCTAAATGGTCACGCTTAGTCCTTTGTGCTTTTTTATTTATACTATACACATTAATTCCCACTATATACAAACTGTCAGAATTTAAAATGTGCTTTTTCATACCCCTACTATCCAATATACAATCTAAAGCATCTCTTCAAATTTTCTGAGGCTCCATTTCAGTAAAGAATAATAAGAGGATTAAACACTGTGCTATTGAAAGGCCTGCAAAAGTGTTCAACATGAAAGAAAGGATAACAATTTGACCCTCTGCAGATAGCCTTGATTATTCCATTGCTTGGAATACACAAAAAAATCTCTGACGTGATTTACAGTAAAACTTTGTCTGCCATCTTTTTCTTTCCCTTGCCTTAAACAATCCCGTACCAATGAATAAAAATCCACCTACTTTAAAAACTGTCCGAAATCTTCACAAACGCTTTCACAGCCAGGCCATTTGCAAACTCCATGACCATAGAGAGTATGGGAGGCCCCAGTCTCCTCATGTGACGAGCTGTAGCAAAAGAATAAGGCATCAGATTCATCTCAAAAGCCATAATCGTTGGAGGCTGCTAGCGCCTGTCAGGTTACGATCAGTGACAAACAGGTCAAAACAGGTCAATTTAGCTCAGAGCAGTCAGAAAAATTTAATCGTTCTATTGAATAGTTCAACTGCCAAGGCTAGATGATGTTCCAATTAGAGAAGAAATAGAGCCAAAGATGACTGTTAATAAAGGATGAAAAAATAAGATGACTGTATAATACCATATGCTAATTCTGCCATATGACCTTGGTGTAACATTTACCTATAAATAAAAAATATACTCAGAAGTGATCAATTCTGAGAAGAACTATTGAAGATGGACAGTCAGAATTTAGGAGTATTGTGAATGTTACTATAAAATATTTGAATTTTCTGCTTAAAAGTGTACAAAAATAAGCTTGTTTCCATTAATACATATTTTTGCTAACAAGCATTGCTTCCATCAGCTACGCGGCTTCATAAAAAACCCCAGCTGTATTCCGTGTCTTTTTTTGGAACCTCTGCAATAGTTTCATTAACATACAGTTATCAAAGAAATTCAGGGGATTGCCCCATGGAGGTGGGCGTCAGCTACAAATCCTGAAGCAAAGAACCATTCTCCGAGATATAATCATGAAAGTAATACTAACTAAAAGTACTAATATAAAGGCATTCAGAGAAGCATCAGTTTCAAAATATTTCAAAATAATGATGGAAAAATGTTCTCACAGTCACATGAAGAACAGAGACACTTAAATTGTAGCCTCCTATTATAAATATTAAAATAATTAAATGGAGTATTTATTTGAAAATACTATTATTTACAATTTAAGTTATGTAGATAACAAATTAAATTTCATCTTATATTGAGATCATCTACATTTGACTATGCTAATACATTTAGTAGTAAGTGCTACAGACACTATGTACTCTTGTGCATTTAATCCATTACTTGAAAATAAGGAACAGTAAATATTTGTCAATGTGTCTTAAAAATTATTTTAACTTTATCCATATGGTTGAATTACACTGTATTACACTAATGCCACTGAAAATTTGTACAAAATGTGTCAACTGTATTACTGTTGTGCATACAAAAAGGAAAATTCAGTGCTTTTCTTCACAAGAGACAAACAATGAGAACTGCTCTAATGCACTCATTTTTAAAGCATTTTTATATAGAAACTTTGTACTGACTTACAGCCTTGACAACTACGATGTATGTCCATTTTCTATGAAACCAGCAGTGTGATTCAACAGTAAGGGCCTGACTGCCAGATGTGTTAACAGAAATATCAATGAAACTATGCACCTACAACAGTGCCCACAAATCTGCATTTACACCTCTAAACCGGCACACTCTACTCTGGGATTTCTGATTTTTACAAAAACTACCATAAGTTCATGTGTTATAAAACCACAAGCAGGCAATTGTCATTGTGTCTGCAAAATTAGACATTATTATTGAAAATGATGCCCTATTGAGAAACAACTCTGAAACATCAGGTCTCCACAATCCCTTAAATAATCTGTATTAAGTTTTATTTTGTGATTGGAAATAATGTGATTTACGATGTTAAACAATAGCTTTAGGTCAAATGATAAGCATAGTTGAAATCTTGTCAGAATTACCTGTCTCGCCTTGCATTTAGGACTGAAGACTGTCCATTCACTATGGAATGATGAGTTATTGGTGGTGATGCTTTGGAAGTGGTGGAGGAGGTAGTAGAGGAGGAATTGTTAGTAGTGAGGTCTAGCCCTCCATGTTTAATGCCATTGTCTTCCATACTGTGAACTCCAGTCACTTCTTTCCATAACTGCTGAATCTCAGCAGGACTTAAGCCAGCTATAAAATGAAAGAGAGCCCCACTAATATAAGAAAATAAAGAGTTTCATATAATGAGCTCAGTGTTATTAATGGATTAATGCCAACAATAAAGCTGATGCTGTTTTTCCAGCAGTCAACATGTAGTAAATCATAAATTCACTTTTCTTCTGTCATAATGCAATCTAACTGTCTTCTCTTGTGTTATCAACAAGTCAATTAGAAATCACCAATTTTAATAACATTATACTCCTGAAAACATTGCTCAAGGATCAAAGAGTGAAAGCTACAAAGAATTTGCAACAACTTCTTGAAAAGAAAAAGAACCTCAACCCTAAATATACTTCCAGACTATATCTTTCCTGTATGCTTAATCAATTTCTTGACATGGAAACATAACTCAATGCATCCACAGTTAACTCAGGTTTTACAATTCCTCTTAAACAAACATGTAACAGAAAATAGAAAAACATGCTGCACTAAGGATACAAACATTGATACTCTCTTTAAACACTTAGCAAGAGCAGGAATAGGGGAAGAAGACTGGACAGAGAAAAATCAGAAGAAAAAAATTAAATCAATGAGATCATAACAGGTTTAATGTTTGAGCAGAATGCATCTGACTTTAATTAATGACACCCACATATTCATTAGTTCTGTTTAATTTTTACAAAGATTGTTCCATTTAAAAATATGTCTTGAGAGGCAAAACCAAAGTGACTATTTGGAAGAACAAATACAGCACAGATCTAGATACTGGTGGCCACTTAAGCTCTTTGGTACCATTCAGTGGCACCAGACAACTAGAAAGCAAACAAACCCAACTCTACATAGATGAAATTACATGTAGTGTAGACCACCAAATTCCTCCACTATTTTTTTTTTGTCCAGCCTTACTGTGGAAAACAAATCAGAGGGTTTGGCCGGAGAAAGGAGACTCTGTCTCATCAGTCTCCTGGGGTGATGGGCAGCCATACAAAATCTGAAGAGCTTCTCAAACCCCTCTGCTATATGCACAGTACTATTCTGGAGTCTAGCCACCAGATCTTTGCAGACAGGGCTTAAATTTGCTCTCTACTTCACTTGTAGCCTGAAAACTTGTAGTTTCCAGGATTCATCCTTGGTCACAAATAGCAATGTCTCATAGAACATATTCATTCTGTGTTGGGGTTGTCTGTCCTGAGTTGAGCACTTTGCACAAAGTCATGGAAATTTCCATTACAAAATACTTCTGACTGAGGTAAAGGCTCCCAAAACACAGGCAAGAGAAGAACTGTGAGCATTCTCTTATCTTGCCGCTGAACATGCAGCTAAGATAGGAAATTCAGGTTTTGAAAGATGGAAGAGTTCATCAGAAATATATATACCTTCTGTCACTGCCAGTCTTTATTAAGTTTGACATCTCTCCTTTGAAGAACACTAAATTAAACGTAAAAAAGAATGAGAAGCCCAGAGACCTTCTTGTGAAATATCTGGTTTCATGGTCAGGTCTTTTAGCCTTACATGGTTTGGGCCTGAGGTAACTTAAAATCTAATTCTGTCTTCTGTATCTCATCTCAACAAGTGAAATTAGGTAAGATATGCTTATGGTATCTAGATCTGGTGAAATGTAAAACATGCAAAATGCTGATGTTGTTGGAATCAAAATTTTGCTCTTTTTATTTTATGAATAAGCTCAAATTTGTTGTCCTTCAGAAAAGGATTAAAATCTATCTATTCATTCTAACTTTTCATTGAGGGTAGTTTTGTTTGGTAAACAAGATATAGCAGAAAGATTTAAAGATTGTTTTTCACTGTCTGGCAAATCTGTTTATTAGATAATGTTTTACTTTGAAGACACAGGAACTCAGACTACTATAATGGATTCACCAAAAAATTATGAAAAAGCACAGAAAGTTCCTTAATACTTATCAATAGCTGTCTCACCATGAAGTACACAAAGCTATTAAAAAATAGACTAATAGTGATTTACTGAAATAATAATTTCTGGGGGTAGTGTGGAAACAAATTGGTTGGAAGGTATTAATATTTTTTTAAAATTATGAAGCAGCTCATTTTTAGACTACTATTTTGTGTCCTGCTTCTCTACCACAGATACCAACACCCACTAGCAAACTCAGTTAATGACAAAGTGAAAAAGAGTTGATTAGAATGTAAGTCTTAAAACTGGAGTTCATACCATATTTGTACAGCTAAAAGCCAGGTTTTAAGGAAGCAAGCAAAGAAGCCAGGCTCTAATTTACTGCATTAGAGAGATGGGTAACGGGAATGATGGTAATACCAGTTGTAATTGTTTAATGAAGGTAAGTAATTACTGCTGTGTTCATGAGGTACGTTCCAGCAACACTGCAAATAACCCATTTTAGCATGGTAAATAATAGTTACTCGCAAATGTAATCACAAATCAAAATGAAAAGTAATGTATTCATTTAGGTGGCATGATATACACAGTACAGTATTTACTTCAAAGTCTTCCCTTCCTCCTGCTGTTGAACAAAATAAAATAATTTTGCACTGAAAAAAAAACCAAACCAAGAATAAACCCTTCTGTTTGGATAATCAGAGGGCAAACATACCATTGTGTCTTGCAGTGAGAAAATTTTCGTCGGAGATCATCAAACTTTGGGCCCTGGGGGAGCTGAGAAAGACCCGCCCCACCAGCTGGGTCAACGAGTGACCACTGGGAGCGGCTGGAGCAAGGGCTCTTCCCATGGGTAGAGGTCTCCTGGCCCTCTGGGCAACTGTTGGGCAGCCCCTTCCTCTATGTGAAGCTATGGATGGAGCTGTGTCTCCAGGCTGCCTATAGCTCACCCAGATTTTTTAAAAAATCTCATAGAAATTTCTCTTTGGGCTCAGGCTGGTTAATTTTATCACTTCTTCAGAACGCTCTGAAAGGCTGCCTTTTAGGATAAAAGGATTAAGGGCAGGCACTTAAAAAGTATAAAGTTAATAAGCGGATTTGTAATTAATTGTAAATTATGTCAATTTTGTAGTTTCTGTATCTGAAAAAGTCCAACTCTCATTTTACAAGAGACCTGTAAAATGGCTGACATATATTTTAGTCTGGATGGAAAAGCAGGGTAGTTTTAAAATTTCGTATTTTGTGGTAACCCTCAAAATACCCTCCCCACACTACATTAAATGAGAAAGGATGAGGAAGAGGATCCAGAGTGCTATAAAAATCAGGGACTATAACGAAAAGGGGAAATACTGATTTGTTATGCAGTTTACTAACACCAAGAGTTTTGGGATTCTCACTACTATCTACTCTATTTCTATGTTTTAATAAATACTTAATAAAACTACCACTTATAAAACCCATCCATGCATTTGCTTTTCATTTCCTACATGGCCTGATCAAAACTTAGGGTTTGTCTTATTTGTTTTTCTTGTTGTTGTTGTCATTTACAGCCCTTTGCATTTAGCTAGCATCAATGCAGCATTACAGGGAAGTAACTCACAGCAAGCCACTAGCTTTGGATACGGCGTAGTGAAGATCTTGTCACAACATAAACGCTAAAACACCTCTTGTATCTTATTTGCTATACCCGACCATCAAGACAACATGGTAAACATTCCTGTCCTTTAAAGGCAGAAACTATACTTGGAGCAAATAGTGTTTATATATGCAAACCTCACAGCTGTACTTGGCAGTTACGTCTTTTCATACTAACAAATGCAAACCCCATGCTCTCTTTGTCACTAATAATTTGTGGTTTACAGGCCTCTTTATGACCAGTAACTTATAAACATGATTTCCCCTGTGTTTCTCTCATAGCCATCTATGTAACTCAGCAATCTAAATGGATGTATATAAAAATATTTGTGTTACTCATATGTAAATCCATCCGCATAATATATTATACATCTTGCAGCACAGTGGAAGGAGAAAAATATCCTTTTATCACATCCAGTATTACCTTAAATAAATTCTGAAAATTTAATTGAATACTGTCACAGAAAATGTCTGTCATAAAATTTGCTAAATTTTACGAGAAAAACAAAGGAAGTTTGCTCCGTTTATGCAAACCCTAATGCAGGGACATCTATGTTAAATCTAGTAAGTGCTACTTATATTTGTACATATTGGATACATTTGGATGGATTTGGATGTGTAAATTCAAGGTTTACGAGAAAGTCACAACAGATCTGAAGCCTGTTAATCTTCGTTACATTATTATGAACTGGACTGGGTCTGTATCTTTCTATGAAAGGCACAATGTGCTGTAAGAGAAGCTCACAGAAAGAACTCCGAGCCGCTCACAATTCTGCATTTGTTTCTCTCTTTGGTTTAGTGTCTTGCTGGAAAGACTTTCCTTCTTACCCTCATCGTTCTACCTTCACCTCACCTGACATGGCATGGGTGCCCTTTCTGGAGATGCAGACAGGGTTCTCAGAGGAAGCTGTCTTATGTTTTCTAAGTTTGCACATCCACATCAGGGCTATGAAAAATAAAGGTCCTATAAATGTTGTGTGTCTAAAGGAACCCTACATACACAGTAGGTACTAGAACTAGGGGGGAAAAATGGAAGAATTAAACACTTGACTAGAATTCATTACAATTAAAAAATATCAAGGCAGAAGCAAATGAGAGATGAATTTACTTTAAAAAGAACAATCCAGATACATTTTAACTGTAAAATTTTGATTTTTTTTTATTTCTTCAGTATCAATCTTTTTTTGTCATGACTTCAGTTACATTTAATTCTTTGAGTAAAAGAAAGTTCTTAAAAAGAACTGTTTACTATTTCTCCTAAAAAAAAAAAGTATTTTAAAATATATTATTTTTTCTATGTTTTTCTACTAGAAGTGGATGAATGAGTCTTGTATTAAACTAATGAATATCAATGCAATTGGGTAGGAGTGCTGAGGGAAACCTATGGGGATTGCTTAATGCGAGAGAAAACCTGAGGAATTCCTCTTGCAACAGATGGCACAAGAGGAGGTTGCAGAAGGTAATGCTGTTTGGAGGGAGGTTGTGTTTCAATTGCTTTTTTTCCATTTTGGTCCAATGTGACTCTGTACAAAAGGAACGAGCATTACCAGTCTCATGTGTCCAAATTCATGAATCAGCTTGCCTCCCCACTGCTATTCTCAAATAATATTTACTGTGATAGCTTACTTAGGACTCTTTGTTGTTGTTGTAATTTTTATGATTTTAGAGATGCTTGTGTCATAGCTTTTCCACACAACACAATGTATGGAATTTACATACTTATTTGGAATCTCTGCTTTCCAGGGACTGAGGTTTTTAGTGGGTAAGTCTTTCTTATACCTTTTTTCCCGTCTTTTTTTTTTTTCCTTTTTTGTCTATACTGTTGTCTATATACTGTGTACTCTGCTTTTGCTCATCTAATTTCTGAAGCTTCGATTTCATAATAGTTATCTGGTGGAGGAACCAGATACATGTGTAAAGACCAATTAAAAATAATGTTACCTGTCATGAACACAGTCTAAAGAATGCTCATTGCAGGACTGGAGCGTCAGAGATCAGAGTATTGTGTAATTTTTATGACAGATATTTAGCTCACCTCTCTATGGTAACACAAACAGAAACACATACCTCACAGGTTACAGAGTCCTTAAGATGGGAAGTCTGGCCTTATGTTAAAATGTAAGCAGCATTTATCTCCAAGTTAATTTACTTTTCAAAAGTGTGTGCCCGATTTCCTTTCAACCATGAATGTACTTGTGTCAAGTAGCAGAGTTTGAGATAATTTTCAGCATTGAGAAATCTTGAGCAAAGCGACAAAGGGAAATACCTTTTTTTTTTCAGAAAGCTTTTACTGCTATTTCTCAGTCATAATTCATTACTATTGAAATCATCACCTTCAAAACTTGTTGTCATATTTAACATATATAATACAAAGGAATAGCAAAGAAAATGAATCCTAAGGTTTGTCCCTAAATTCACGTGTCAGATACTGAATATTCAAAGTGCTTTTGAATGCCAAACCCTTTATTTTCTTAGAAGAAAAAAAAAAAAAAAGGTGAGTTTTGGAATGGCTTTAGTATCACTGTATGATATATTTTCTAGCTGTTTGCTTATACTAAATGAAATTAGAACATTTCCACTAAATCAGATTTCAGTAATTCCTCAGAGAAAAGCAATGTTGCTTAAATTGTGTTGCTATTAGAAATTGTTTTCAGCACAGGCTAATAAATACGCATCTTTTATCTAGAAAAAAGACACTCAAAAGCTCTTTTCTTCTATAAAAGTATGCAGCCAACTTTATCAGCCTCAAGAAAATTTGGTATAATGAATAATAAAGTTCTAATAATAAAGTATTTTTAACAGGAAACCGCTGAAGTTCAGATTCAAATGGAACAGTTAAAAAGTTTGTGAATTCAAAATTACTCCAGTCATATATTACTCAAATACCTTGTGGCAGAGACTGGACAGGAAGAGCAGACTGGCCAGGTGGGATGGAAATGAGTCCCTGACGCTGAAGGTTCATTTAGCGGATGCTGCTGCTGCTGAAGTTGCTGCATCTGGAGGAGCTGCTGCTGGAAGACAAGCTGCTGGGCTGCCAACTGCTGTTGCTGCTGCTGCTACAAAGAGAAGGGGGGGAAAAAAAGCAAATGCAGTAAAAAGTAAAGTGTGCAGTAAAGGCTAGAAAGCCAAAGATGTAAAATCAACTTCTTTCCCTTTAATCTCAGTTGTTAAATAATAATGCTATTTGTAGAATACTTAGGCAGTGAAAGTGTTTGAAATTTTCTATTATATTCATTCAAGCTATTAGGTGTTAGGGACAATGGCAAGATACACTTAACGACACGCTAAAGAAAAGGGTCAAGAGAAAGTATATAACAGCCGTTTCAAACAAAAAAAAAAAAAAGAAAAGCCCAGCTCATGGCAGATGATAACAAATTTATCTATGCTAAAAATGTAACTCTTTACAGCAGCCTGTGATTCGAAGGCACTCTTGTTTTTCCAATTGACTAAGTTCGGTCTGCAGTGGCCCATGAATGTGGTCTCCGGTGATCTATTAGTAAACTGGGATGTAGCCTTCATTTCACTGGCCTGTTAGCTCGCTCTCTCTTCTTGTTGGAATATATTAAAAGGAGCATTGCATTCAAGGCAACGAAGTGCCCTATTATGGAGCAAAAGTGTAAGTTCCGATTTTGTAAGGCATTTCAAGACAAACTGGAGTCTGCAAAGACTCAGGAGGGTATGAGAAGGCAGTCACACTTCAGAGAAAGACAAGCTGCTGTGGAAGACCTTTCCTTTCTAGTTTGGGGAAAAGAGAAACTTCTGATGCGCTCACTGGAAAACAGACTGCATAATGGAGCAAGTCATGTGGATTGCCCAGAGCCTCCGGAGAAATACAGGAGCAATTTCTATTCCGTAGTTGATGGCTGTCTCAAATTCTATTCACAAATCCAAACAGAAACAAAGCCTCAGGAGGTCACAACTGCTTCCTCGACTTTTGCATAATGGGCAGCTTGAAGACAACGTCTAGGATACCTGCTGATCAATTTAACTACTTCAACATGTTTTGTTTGTGTTATGTTTATATTTGATGCAGTTTGCTGACAAGTGCAAGCTAGGCCTGAGAAACCCGCTTGTCAGGTTGATTTATGAGCACATCAAACTGTAACTTTCTACTCGCCACTCCAAACCTACAGTAGCAGTTCATTAATCAGGGGCCTGTGACTTTGAAATCTGTGCTCAATCGCTCTTTTTCAGCCATGGACTAAATTTGCATGCTCTCTGAGCTGTGCCACTGAGAAAAGTAAGGCTCCTTCCCCAACACAGATCGCCTGTGAATACAAGATAATCAGCACGGTGTCCACCACACAGCTTGTTCTTTGCACACTCAGATTCATTAGCGAACATTAGACGACAGCAGCACTAGACTGCTCAAATCCTATGTCTCAGAAAGCGGAGCAGGAGAATTATACCAGCACCGCTATTAAGCCCAGTAAAAACATAAGAACAAATCTTTGATAGCTGCATCCTTCCTACAGGAAAAAAATAAACTAGTCTTGTCTTTTTCAAGCTTCTGACAGCTCAGACTAGTATGCATCAGCAAGGGTCTTAGCTCCTACCTCTTTTGCTTGCTTTCCTGGATGCTGTTGCTGCTGCTGCTGCTGCTGTTGCTGTTGCGGCGGCGGCTGTTGTTGCTGTTGTTGCTGCTGTTGTTGCTGCTGTTGTTGTTGCTGTTGCTGCTGCTGTTGCTGCTGCTGCAAAAGCTGAAGATGTAACTGCTCTTGCTGTTTCTTGTAAAACTCTTGTAGTTGTTGCTGAATAAACCATTTTGACTTTAATAAATAAAGGCAAAAGTTTCAAGTATTATAAATCTCCTAAACTCTTCTAGATTGGCATATGGTAGCGTAGCCATTAAGAATCACCTCATAACAAAAAATGTGATTTGAAGAGGCAGATCTACATACATTTTTTTCCAAGGCGGTTCTGAAATTTTCCAATGCAGATTCCAAAATATCCTAAACAGAAGGGTATAGAAAATCTGTATTCTAAAGGGAATGCAAGAGCCAAATTAACTCCTCAAATAACTATACCCAAGTTCCTCACATGTCCTATATAACAAACCAGAAGCTGTACTCATCCACTTGCAAGAAACCTACAAGTCACTAAGGCCAAACTAAACTGTCTGTTTCTTAGGGGAAAAAGGTAATTAATCTGTCAATCTGTTTAGTGGGATGCTGGATTCACAACTGAAGGTGAATTGCCTGTAATGATTGCAGTACTGGATATTAAAGTGTTTAAACATTCAGTGATTGAGCTATGACTATGACAAACAGATGCATCATCTTCTGTATGATAATTAAGCACCCAACCAAAAAATGCACTCTGCATTCAACTGAGGTACTGATCACTTACACCATCTTTATGGCATGAATAACAAGTTCATGAATTCTTCACTTCACTGCCAGATTTTGTGCTAAGAAAACAGCAACCTCCTCCTCCTTTCTAGCCTTATCTGGGACAAATTTTTCGGATGTAAACCCAAACAAAATAAAAAAACTTTTCCCCATGATGAAACAAGCTGTTAAGTTCAAATTTCATAACCGCATACCATTTATGTGACTAAAGGGAGCACTACAGTGTTATGAATTTTAAAGCAACAATTATCTACAACTCTATTTGCACTTCCTTTGGCAAGTCTACAATTAAAATGTGCCTAAGCGCTTGAAAATTTAAATATCAATTTGTTCAGTATTTGTAATGCATCTGCCACTGCTGCTGCTGCTGTTTTTAATATAATACCTAATGTTTCAAAATCACAATTTCACACTTCGCAATTAAAACAAAAAATTTTAAGACTAAGAACTTTCATATTTATTTTCATTCTTTTTGGTGTAATGAGTGATGAAATATTACAAAATAAGACCCCTAAAATCTGGCTGACACTTGCACAAATGCCCTGTGCTAACAGTCCAAAGCAGGTAACCCACATTACCTGCTGCAACATAACTGCTTGCTGCTGCTGGAGAAGTGCTTGAAGCTGCTGTGGAGACAACACTTGCTGCTGGAGAATCTGCTGCATTTGCTGAGGGGTGATCACCTGGGGAGTCATCATGGCCACTGACACAGGCACCTGCACAGGGAAAGAAAGATATCATCGTCAAACACATTTTAGTTCGCCTGCACCACAGCTGTAAGTCTTTTTTATTCTGTACCAAAGACGGGACGTAATTCTTTATATAATATGTATCACTGCAAAGTTCCAGTTTCAGTCAGAATCTGTTATTTTAAGACCACAGTACTGTGGCACTCTATTTCCAGAGGCATCAGATTCAATCAGACTCAAGCTTTATGTTTCGCATCTCTTATGTATTCCTGCAAGAAATTTAAGCATTGGCTAGTACAAATGTGTATTTAAAAATAAATGATCACATGGCAGGGCTCTCAACACTTCATAATCAATCATCTTATCAAGTGTCATAATGTTACGAATAGAAAAATCTATTGAGACTGTTTCAAAAGATATGATTAAAACAGACAGCAAAATAAGTATCTTAAAGCAGTAAATGTTTTACACAATAAAGACACTTAGCCTAGAAAAATATTTGTGTAATACATCACTTTAGTATATGAAAACGTCTCTTGGTCAGCTAGTCTTTTAAGGAAGTCTGATTTATACAGAAATAAAAAAAATGCCACGGACATATTGCAGTATGGAGCCAGGGCCGCCACCTCAGTCACCGGGTCTCTGCAGAAACATCTTCTCAGTCACTCCTAACTGAAAACTGAAAGTTGGGAAGCCTTGTCACAAGATTATTAGTTTGTCCACTAAACCCCAAGAATGCATGTTTGCGTAGGGGCTGTTTTGGACACAGCTGCATTTTCCACTTGTTACATACTAGATGAAGTCTCTATATATGCATAAACACCCACTTACACACATGCTCTCAGGAATGTACGTGTGAGTAGGAAAGACACAGCAAATATAGGTGGTTGTATATGTAAGAGAGAAAAGTCCTTTGGAAGAGCCTGAGGTATGTGCTGAGCTGCTGCAGCAGACACACTGTGTCAAACCATTGCTCGAGCTAACCAGGACACAGTCAAACAGCTGTCAGCAGGCCAAGTTTTCCACCCATGAAAAAGCAGCCACTAGCTTGTCTAGCAAAATTCAGATATTTTTTCTGTATATAATAGCAAGGCATATAAATACTGCTTTGTGAGATGTTTGCAGGACATTCCAGTCTTCTGTAAATCAGCAAAAATAATATTATTATTAAGAAAACAAATCATGAACAATTCTGCAGAGGAAAAACTTTTCTAATATTTCTATTACTTGAATCTATCCTGAAAGACTTTCTATATATGTAACACTTAAAGGAAAAAAAGAAATACAAGTCTGCTGAAGTTCACTTTTAGAAGAAATTACTTCATCTAGTATTACACAGAATATCACTTTTCACACAATTCATCACAGCATAAATTACAGTCTTAAAACACTGACTAATTAAGAGTCTGAAAGTAAAAGTACCAGCCATTACTAAAAGGTCTGATAATCTTTTGCAAACAAGAAATGAATTTTAAGAATAAAAATTCTGAAGGTCTTACTCTAAAATACAAGTGGAAAAGACAAACCAGACTTCCACTCAGAATAAGACACTTGTGGGGAGGAATTTAATCTCAGCTATCACTGGACTCCTTCTATAGTCAACAGAACATGGAAGTCCCAAGGAAATTTTATCTGATCTGGTTTAGGCATCTATTTTAGCATGGGACTGATCCCTCTCTGAATGCACCTGTCTCTCTCCATTGAGTGTAGACTCACTTTGAGTAGACACCTAACTTTCAGATGGTTAATGTTCGTTGTTACATCTCATGACACCTAGAAGTCTTGTAGTGTTGCAAACACCACATCTCTACGCAATAATGTTTCATTCTAAGTCTACCTGGTCCTAAGGGTAGGACAAACAAGTTTTTACAAGCTCGAGATGCGTGAGAAAAGAGTAAAATTCACTGGCTGGAGTCAATGTTCAATTCCCTCTGAAGCCAGTAAGAAATTCCTCTGTTTACATGAGATCTGAACTTGCCTTCTTCTAACAATTTTGCTTCAGTGATGCTATTCAACTACCACATGTCACACAGAAATGAGAAGGCAGAGAGGAAGATGGACACTCTCCCAATTAAACCATTACTGTTAACCTTTAAACCCTCCAAGAATTTTCCTAACACTTACATGCTTACTACTATAATATATAGCAAATGGTGAAGGTGTTGCACACTTGTTCCTCTACTTCTCCTCTTACCTCTACATCCTCTCTATCTTTCCTGGCACGTGTATTTTCAAACACACAAGTAAAAATTCTGATCTAAACAGAGCAAAAAGTAACTCAACTCTGTAAGCGGCACTTATTTATTCACGCTCTGGGCTGAAGACTCTAGCCGGTAAGACGAGCATTAAGACTTGTGCTGCCACAAGAATCCTCTGTTCCTCAGTCTGAAATATAGATTCCTTTTCACCAGGCATAGTTCTGCTAGCTTTTGTAGTATCTGCTCTGAATCTCCCTGACTGCGTACTTGCTCTTATATTTGGAGTCACACCTGCTTTGCAGTACACTCTAAGAGCTTTTCTTTCCAAATTTATTTTTCCAGAATTTTTCAACAGTTGCTTTGAACTGTAGAAGCTGAAGTAGAGAATCTAATACACCTGTTTTTCAGGGTGATGGATAAAAGCATGAAAAAAAATGTCAGTCAAGGTCATTAGTAAAAATACTTATTTATGTAAATAATATTGCCTTCAACATAATTTTATGTGAGGATCCCTATGTGTGTATCATACCTGATAGATCTCTTCTTTACCAGAGATAAAGGACAAGGCATTATGAACACTGCTTGAATTTTAAATTAGCAAAACATATTAAGCAAAGAGATTTCTCTAATTGTAATTAGGTAATATAAATTGGTACATTTCACAGCCTTCAGTGATATACCAGACTGCACTTTACTTCTTATTGGCATAGTGTTACTGTGCTATCTGGGTCAGAAGACTATCAGAAACCTGCTATTTATGGCCAATTATGTGCAGTAGGTATATTACTTTAGTTTGGTGTCTGCATTTTTCAAGATTTCTCATCTCATTTTACATAAATGTAGCAAAGAAGCAAACTGACACTTTTTCCATAGAAATCTCTCAATGTATCTGAAGTCAGTTCAGGTAGATGACAGTAGAGGGACCCAGTGAAAAGATATGATTGAGTAAATGATGTGGTTCATTCGAGTGGGCCACAAACTCCCAACAAATTCTTGCTCAGACCTCTCATGGAATACTGAAGAGACAAAGTGAAACACGATGTAATGACTGCAACCCATTTATTACAAGGAGTCCTCAAAGAAAAGGAACTCCTAAGTCTCTCATGGAGACGACCGGGCACAGCAACCCTACAAAGCACAATGGGTTGGACAGCCTTTGAAGAACATGTAAGTTTGTTGGCTCCAGGATCGACCCTGATGGAGGCTTCATCTTGTGAAGAGTTTCTCATGTTTCTGATGTAGGCTCTCTGCAATTTCTTTGGATTAGCTTACAAGTCCCACTAAATAAAACTATAGATACGCAAACAAACAATTTCTTAACACATCTAAACAGCATTTCAGGCAAAAAAAAACCCCTGTAAACTGCTTTATTACTACATGTGAATGTACTAATAAAAGAAGACCTACGACACAGAATGAAAACATTGATAGTGGCAAATAGATAGATGAACACAGCTGCAAAAATGAAGACAGAACTTCTCTGAAGACTAACAAATCTGTTTTTTCCCCAGATCAATTTAACAGAGAAATGGTGGAGGCTAAGCTTGTGTATTTAACACCACTCTTCTGTCACACATGAAAAATTCATCTTTACCTGAAGAAGCTTGCCAGGTAAACACTCATCTATTGTTCCTATGAACTAACTGATAACAGGAACCATATAAATTTATATTTTTTTTTATGTTACCTACAAAGATCGTATTCCTAATGGCACAAATGGAAGGTAGCATAAGTAGCCTGCACCTTCAGTAAGCTTTTGCATTTTTTAGAAGCCTTGAAAAGCTGTACACATATTTTCAATAAACATTGACCAATCTGATCAAAAACAAATACAGCCAAGGGAGACACACTGGTTTTAATCCAAGTTCCTTTTATTTTGAAAGTCAGGTATTGATAATGAAAATTACACGCAAAACTTGACCTTAGTTTTCAGTGCTTTTGAGAAGAATCACAAAATCACATATATTAGTCACCTTCAGAGCCAGTTCAAGGTATGTAGGAATTATTTCTTTGTTACAGACAGAGGAAAAAAGACACAGTAAGTAAAAAAAAGACACTTTAAGTAATTAATCCAAAGTCACATGGTATTTTAAGTGGCAGATCTGAGAACGGAACTGTTCAGTAAGACAAGTCTCTGGTTTATTGAAAGTAATGTAATTAAACATTTAATGGAGAAACTTTGCTCTGTAGGATCCTTCTTTTAAAAATAAATGGAGGTGTGAAACCACATTTACAGTGCAGGATCAGGCTCTTTAGCAGAAGCCAATTATTTTAAAAGAAGAAACTACCGCATCCCTTCTCTTCCCACTTTGCTAATGTGTAGAGCGTCTACCATAATAATAACAACCCTTTGAATCTTTCCGGTTTTGCAATATTAAAAAGAGCAAGACTGAACCGAGTGGTATTTGTAAGCTGTTCATAACAAGTGAACAAGAATACATAGTGATCCTCCTAGATGGACGATACATACTGCCCAATTTTATACAGCCTAGATAAGGCTACATGATTCTGAAGCATCTCAAAAATATACTTTATGATACAACATACTAGAATTTATCAACAGAGAAACACTAAGACACATGTAATAGGAAAGTAACACAGATGTACCCATTTTGTACGACTCCTGTTTTCTATGTTTACTGTGGAATTTAATTTATTACTACTAATCCATCTACATTTTAATTAATTTAATATAATAGAGTGTGCTTTGTTGTGTAATTGGAGTTTATAGAACTTTATCTTTACAGCTTTTTTTTTGTTATTGAACACTTCTCCTATTACACGTAAACATTTTAGGAAAGATTAAAGTAATTTCTATTTACAGTTAGT